AGAATTCCTTGAGGAGGTAATGAGTAAGATAGACAAAGGCGAGCCAGTGGACGTGATCTATTAGGATTTTCAGAAGGTGCCACACAGGAGGCTGTTAAATAAGATACAAGCCCATGGTGTTAGGGACAAGGTATTGGCACAGATAGAGGATTGGCTGCCTGGTAAAGGGCAGAGAGTGGGGATAAAGGGGTCATTTTCAAGATGGTAGCTGGTGGCTAGTGGAGTTCCGCATGTGGGGGGCATGGCTATTCACTACACATTAACGATCTTGGACAAAGGATCTGAGGACATTGTTGCAAAGTTTGCAGATGAGACAAAGATAGGTGGAGGGACAGGTAGTGTTGAGGAAGTGGGGAGGATGCAGAAGGACTTGGGCAGTCTAGGAGAGCAGGCAAAGGAGTGGCAGATGGAATGCGACGTGGGAAAGTGTGAGATTTTGGGAGAAAGAATATAGGTGCAGACTATTTTCTAAATGGGGAAAGGCTTCAGAAATCTGAAGCACAATGGGACTCAGGACTCCTAGTTAAGGATTTTCCTAAGATTAACGTACAAGTTCAGTGGGCAGTTAGGAAGGTATATGCAACGTCAACATTCATTTCAAATGGCTAGAATACAAGAGCAGGAATGTACTGCTGAGGTTGTATAAGGCTATGGTCAGACCACATTTGGAATATTGTGAGCAGTTTTGGGACCCCTACCTAAGGAAAGATGTGCTGGCATGGTTCTAGAGGAAGTTCACAAGAATGATCCTGGGCATGAGGGGTTTGTCAGGTGAGGAGCGGTTGAGGACACATAGGTCTGTACTCAACGGAGTTTAGAAGGGAAAGGGGTGATCTAATTGAAACGTACAGAATACTGAGAGGCCTGGATAGAATGGGTGTGGAGAAGATGTTTCCATTAACAGGAGAGACTAGGACCTGAGGGCACAGCCTCAGAGTGAAGGGACGACCCTGTAGAACTGAGACGAAGAGGAATTTCTTTAGCCAGAAGGTGGTGAATCTGTGGGACTCATTGCTGCAGAGGGGTGTGGATGCCAGATCTTTGAGTTTATTTAAGACAGAGATAGATAGGTTCCTGGTGAGAAGGGGGATCAAGGATTACAGGGAGAAGGCAGGAGAATGGGATTGAGAAACATATCAGACATAGTTGAATGGTTGGAGAAAACTTAATGGGCCAAATGGCTTAATTCTGCTCCTGGATATTCTGGTCTAAATTTGCACATAACACAAACCTTGGTAGGAGCACAAGCTGTGAAGAGGACATAAGGAGTCTGCTAAGGGGTTCTGAGAGGTTGAGTGAGTGAGCAGATGTTCGATGACTGGGGTATAAGGTGAGGAAACATGAGGTACTGAGTAAAATAGAAAAGCAGATTATTAATAAAATGGGAGTTAGATTCCTGCAGTACAAAGGGATCGGATGTCATCGTACAAGTATCAGAGAACTTTAGCATGTAGTTACAGGAAAAATAATTAGGAGGGCAAATGGAATGTTGGTCTTTATCAAAAGAGGGATTAAGTATAAAATTATAGAAGTCTTGCATCTTGTATAGGATGTTGATGAGACTGTACTCATTACGACATACAGCTTTGGATTTCTTATTTGAGGGGTATACTGACAGAGAAGGCTCATTAGGCTGATTCCTGGAATTGATGGGGTTTGTCTAATGAGGAAAGGATGAGCAGGTTCACCCCTTCTTGGATTTCAGAGGTGATCGAATTGAAACATATTACAATTCTGAGAAAGTTTTACAGAGTAGATGCTGAGAGGATGTTTCCTCTTAGGAGAAAACTTAGAATTAGGAGGCACAGTTTACAAACAAATAAAAGATGAATATTAAGTGGGTTTTACTTTCTTTCAGATGATTTCTAGTCTTTTAAATGCTCCAATCCAAGGAGCAGAGGAGCCTGGATCATTAAATATATTTAAGGCTGTGCAGGACAGAGATTTGGGAGTGTTCAGGACAACTGCAGGTGAGGGTATGATCAGGTCAGCCATGATCTTGTGGAGGGGGTAAGGAGAGTTGAGGGGCTGAATAGCCTGCTTCAGTTGCCTGTCCTCACGTTCTCATTCGGGATTGAGGGAGATAGGGAGACATTGATTGTTGGGAATATAGGGAGGAGATTGTTGGTGAGGCCAGTGGGTCGCAAGTGGGGAGTGGTGAGATTTTCAGAGATAGTAGGAACTGCAGATGCTGGAGAATCTGAGATAACAAGGTGTAGAGCTGGATGAACACAGCAGGCCAAGCAGCATCAGAGGAACAGGAAAGCTGACGTTTCGGGTCTAGACCCTTCTTCAGAAAAATGGTTTGTTGGTTTTGGTGAAGTTGGGTGTTGTTGAAATGCCCCTGAGTCTGTTGTTGAAATGGCCTTGTGTCTGTCTGACTCTGTTCTGTTACATTCACAGGGCTCTCCCTGCAATGATGCAGTGGATTCAGTCACAAAAACCAGGGGAAAATGGAGTGAACATTGTCACAGCAGACTTTGTGGAGCTCGGAGATTTTATTAGTGCTGTCATCAGACTCAATTATCTCTCAGAAGATGACACATCCAATGCAACTTAGCAATTCTCTCAATGTCCCCTCTCTCTATCCCACGCCCTTCAAGTCAATATCCCGTTTGCTTTGAGCAGTGTTCCTGATCTTTGTGTAAGGGCCTAGCCGTTAGCTGTCAGTGATAAATTCTAGCCACACTCTTCCCCTTGAGCACTGGGCGAGATGGAGATGTTCCAGAACCATCATCAGCGCTGCTCTGTTTTGTTCTGTCTGTCGGACGATAGTACAATCTCAGTTTTACTCAGTTAGGCTGAGACACTGTACCATCTCCAAAGGCCAGGGTCAAACTGACCAGCAGCTGCTGGGAGCTCACACATCCCTTTAACCCAGAGAGAAATAACCTCGCCTTCGAAACCTGGTTGTGGGCCTATCCCCATTCCATCACCCCCACCCCTTTCAGCCAGACCCTCTCCACCCCACATCCTATAGGAACATTGAAAGGTCCAATTTTCTCAGGCTTAAGCTACTGACTGCCTAACAACACCCAAATACCACTGCCCACCCTCCCCACCCTACTGTCACCCAGCACTGTCACAACTTGCCCCCCACCCCCCCCAAACATCACCACCTTCCCACACCATCATCCTCCCCCCACACTGAATACATGACAATGGGGCCGGCTGTGCTGAAGATAGTCCCATATCACAACAGGACCGGGGGTGTGTGGGGGCTTGTAATAAACATGGAAGGATAGAATCTGGCTGGAAAGTTATTGAACTCGATGTTGAGTCCTAGAGGTTGCAATGTCTGTCTGTGAAAGACCACCGTGAGCTACCAGTTTCCTGCCACTTTAACACACCACCCTGTTCCCTGGTCAATATCTCTGTCTCTGGCTTGCTGCAGTGTTCCAGCCAAGCTCAGTGCAAGCTGGAAGAACAGCACCTCATTTTCCACTTGGGGGATCCTGCAGCCTCTAGGACTCAACATAGAGCTCAATGACTTTACAGCCTGAATCCATCCTGCCATGTTTATTACACGCCCCCACACCCCCCGGTCCTGTTGTGATGTACGTTACTTTCAGTATGGCCAACCCATTCTCTCCCACTCTCAGCTCATATTGTCACTTACTCAGCTTCTCTTCCGTCCCAGCTTACTATCAATAATCCCCTCGCTTACCGACCCCTTTCATTTCTCCCTCCCTCTGAGCTCCATCTCCACCTTTCTATTCACCACTCCTCACCCCCATTTTGGCTTCACCATAAATAACACTTTCTCCAAGCTGATCTCAGTTCTGGTGAAAAGTCACCAGACCCAAAACACAAATACTGCCGGACCTGGTGCGTTTCTCTTGCAATTTCTGTTTTCGTTTCAGATCTCCTGATCCAAAACTGAATCAACACATTGTCACAGCAAGCACCAATCGGAGATGGTTTTATAATCCTGCAGTCACATGATCTGACAACACTCCCAGGACAGGGACAGCACAGGGTTAGAAACAGAGTAAAGCTCCCTCTACACTGTCCCCATCAAACACTCCCAGGACAGGGACAGCACGGGGTTAGGTCCAGAGTAAAGCTCTCTCTACACTGTCCCCATCAAACACTCCCAGGGCAGGGACAGCACAGGGTTAGAAACAGAGTAAAGCTCCCTCTACACTGTCCCCCATCAAACACTCCCAGGGCAGGGATAGCACAGGGTTAGAACAAAGAACAATACAGCACAGGAACAGGCCCTTCAGCCCTCCAAGCCTGCACTGCCACATTTTGCCCTTCAGTTCTAAAACAGTCTTCACTTACAGGATCTGGATCCCTCTATTCCCTTCCTATTCATGTATTTGTTCAGGTGCTTCTTGAAAGCTGCTATTGTGTCTGCTTCTTCTATGTCCTCTGGCAACACATTCCAGGCACTCACCACCGTTTGTGTGAAAAACTTGCCTCACACACCTTTTCTAAACTTCCACCCTCGCACCTTGAACCTGTATCCCCTAGTAATTGACCCCTTCACCCTGGGAAAAAGCCTCATATTTTCCACTCTATCCATGCCATTCACAATCTGATAAACTTCTATCAGATCAGCCCTCAACCTCCTGCTTTCCAGTGAAAATAAACCCAGTCTCTCCAACCTTTCTTCCTAGCTAAAATCCCCTGTACCAGGCAACACCCTGGTAAACCTTTTCTGTACCCTCTGCAAATCTCTCTCTACACTGTCCCCCATCAAACACTCCCAGGACAGGGACAGCACAGGGTTAGATACAGAGTAAAGCTCCCTCTACACTGTCCCCCATCAAACGCTCCCAGGACAGAGACAGCATTGAGTTAGATACAGAGTAAAGCTCCCTCTACACTGTCCCCCATCAAACACTCCCAGGACAGGGACACCGCAGGGTGAGATACAGAGTAAAACTCCCTCTACACTGTCCCCCATCAAACACTCCCAGGACAGGGACAGCACGGGGTTAGATACAGAATAAAGCTCCCTGTGCCGTTGAGATTTGAGGAGGTTCTCAGACACTCCCTCTTGTGTTGATGCTGACGAACAAGAAGGAAATGTGAACCATTCCTAGTCTCTGTGTGTTTTGCCTGCCCAGTGCTCAGTGACTTGTTACTGCACAGTGAATGGTGACAGTGTAACGTATATCAGTTCTGTGTTGTGTTCAAGGTGAATGCAGATGTTTGTGCCCACAGTGTTGGGGTAGGTGTCTGCAGTAAGTCAGTGATCATCAATGTATTGTGAGACAACAAGGTGCAGGGCTGGATGAACACAGCAGGCCAAGCAGCATCATAGGAGCAG